TTTCGAGTACCTTTTTTTTTTACCTTTTACGGGTATAAAAATATACAAGAAGAAACGCTATAGTCCAGTGCCGCGACTATATGAATCCCGATTCTGTGTTACACAATTTTATAATATTAATTTTGCTCTAGGAAATTCATAAAGCGCCACTTATTGTCAGAGAAAGCATGTTGAGTAACCGATATTGAGATCACTCTGCATGTGAGGCCTTATAACTTATAACCTTCTTTTGTACCCTTTTACTTTACGAGTAACGGGTATAAATATACAAGAAGAAACGCTATAGTCGAGTGCCGGGACTATAAGATACCCGTTACTGTTTTACGCAATTCTTAAATATTAATTTTGCTATTGGAATTTCATTTCTTAATTTTGGGACTAACAATAAGTTGACGAATCTTATCATTAAAATTTAACTAAGACTACAAGACTATAAGATACCCGTTACTGTTTTACGCAATTTTTAAATATAAATTTTGCTATTGGAATTTCATTTCTTAATTTTGGGACTAACAATAAGTTGACGAATCTTATCATTAAAATTTAACTAACAGTATACTAAGACTGCATTCTTTTTGCACGTCCCTCAGGTCGGTCGCTGGGTGGGTAGGTTATTGCGACGAAGGCGTGATTGGTTGCTCAACCTTGTTAGAATTATCGCCAGATGGTTAGGGTGCACCAATAGCTTGGTGAAGTACTTTACCTTCTGTTCTGCAATAACTTCTTTGACTGGTAGAATGTTTAAGTCCCGGTGTATGTTTTCGTTGCGAACGTACCACGGTGCCCCGGTGATTGTTCTCAAGATCTTCGACTGAACTCTCTGAACAATGTCAATGTTGCTATTGCTGGCTTTTAGCTTTAGGTTCGTTCTTTTGGCTTCAATGTGCCGGCGTCATGTGAGTCTTCTGTCGAGATGCACTCCTAGGTTAGTTACTTCGTTTGCTTGTGGAAGTAGAGTGTTGGTTAACGTAATCGGCGGGCAGTTTTGCCTGTTCAGAGTAAACGTAACGTGTTTGCATTTTAGTTCGTTCACTTTAATTCGCCAATCTGATAGCTATTTTTCAACATCGACCATATGACGAGCTAGCTGCGCAGTTGCTTGAATCGGGCATTTAGAGCGGCTAAGAATAGCTGTGTCATCGGCAAACGTAGATGTTGTTAGTCGTGTGCTTGTCGCGATGTCTGCTGTGTAGAGGAGATATAGTGTTGGCCCTAGCACGCTACCTTGAGGAACTCCAGCTCCAACAGTGTAATCATAAGATATAGCAGTGTTGCACCTCACAACAATTTTTCTGTCGTGAAGGTAAGACTCTAAAATCTTGTGGGTGCTGTAGGGGAGCATTTTCTTGATCTTGTACATTAGACCTTCTATCCAGACTCTATCAAATGCTTGAGAGACATCTAAAAATATGGCAGTACAGTACTCTCGTTTTTCGAAAGCGTTTCGAATTTCTGATGTTTTCCGGTTGACCTGCTCAATTGTTCCATGCTTTTCACGAAACCCAAATTGGTGTGACGGGATTCCTTCCTGGATTCTCAGGTATGTGTTTATCCGAGTCATTAGGCATTTTTCAAAGAGTGGTTTCACGGTTTCTTTCGGTGAGCTCAGAGTTGGGTGAGCTCTCCATAGTGAGTGTTTTGTACAATTAGTTGACAATTGCTCAATGTAGCGGCGGTGGACATATGTTTCTTCTTGCTGTAGAGCTTGAGCAAGTTGACGTGAGGCATGTTTTAAGCATTGCTTAGCAGATGGCGATCTGTGAATTTTCCATGCTCGACGTAAGCGTCGCTTTTCGAGGACGAGCTGTTCATTTGTAGATTTGACTTCTTTTGATTCCATTGTGTGTTTATAGTATGAGGTGTTGAAACTCGAGCTGCTGAGACGAGTACAGATTCCAGTGAATTAACAAAACTGTCTACGTTGGCTTCTTCGCTGAGGTGAGGACTTAGCACAATGTGTGAGCTAATATACTTCCTGTACTTAACCCTATTGCCGGACAGTATGTTGGTGTGCCAGAAGAAACATAGTCGAGCTTGTTCTTAGCTTTGATAATTGCATTATAGAGCTGCTTTTCTTTTGGAGTCACGAGACGAGGTCCCCAGTGTGTGTGCTTGGCATTGTAGTCTCCTGCTGCTATGAAGTGGTCTCCGAGTGAGTTGAAAAACTGCATAAACTCATCTTCGGCTATGGTGAAGCGTGGGGGCAGTATACGGCGGCTAGCATTAATTGCTTGCCAGTATTTAGGTGTATATTTATGGATGTGGCCTGTGTTTAGTGTAGTAGTGTATCTGTTTGTAAGATGTGTTTCTGAAAGCAGCATTATGTCGATTTGATTGTATAGTAGGAATAACGCTAACTAGAGTTTATGCTGCGAAGGGAAGTCATTATTTGGATTGTTGTGAAACCAGCATTTGTATTAATAGATTTTGGTTTCGCATCAGATCTTGCTTTGTTGTACGCATAAACGACATAAACTCCGTAAGGCTTTGTTGTAGACTCCATGTCATAGCTTTATAGTTACTTTTTGGCTGCTCTGGCGGTTGATGCTTCTGAGCCGTGATCGGTTCTTGGTATGCTGATTGCGGCAATGGGCTTTTTGAGGCTGGGGTAGACCTAGTCCTAATTTTAAAGCACTTGCGAATGTAATATTTTTGGCAGAGTTTATGGGTCCAGCAGCAGGAACTGAAGATTGTATATAGGGTGCACTTCGTATTTCTTTAGGGGCTTAATTTCTGGTTCGAGCTCAACCTTAAAGAGTGGCTGCGGCTTTCTATCCCTGTTAAGAATATTGAAGATTGTCTTAGCGCTAAGTCCCTTCTCTTGTAGCGCCATTGTTATCTCTGCAGGCGATACTTCGGACTCTATGCCCTTAAGTACGACCTGCAGGCCCTTGATGCTTTTTAGCTGATACGTATAAAAGTTCTTTTTTTTGTCGGTGAGATATTTTGATAATACTCTGTAATTATCTTCAGACTTCGTTTGAACTTTTGTTTCCTGGATGTTGCCCTTTACGAGTGGTATTATGTGAAAATTGTCCTTGCCAATAAGCTCTATAATTTTGTTGACAAGAACGTTGGAACTTTTTTCTCGTATGTAAATTGGCGGAGGCTTAGTCTTCCTTTCTTCGACTTCAGTAGATTCGGCATCATCCTCATAGTCTGCCAGGATTTTAAAACGGTTTGAGTAAGAGGGCGTATTTATTGCAGCTATGTTAGCATTGCCACGGGTTTTTTTGCTTGTTAAGGGTTTAGGGTTAGGCTTAGCTTCCTTTTGATTTGGATGTAGCGATATTTTCTTTGTTTTTGTTCTCTTTTTCGGGCAGCGCAGCGGCAGAAGTATTATTGTTTGCGCTGCTAGCTGATGACGTCGTTAAACGCGCCGTCGTTACAGTTGCGGTTGTTGTAGTTGTTACGGTTGACGTTGTCAAAGAAATTGCGGTGCTCGTTGCTGCGCTCTTTGGCTGCAGAGACATCGATGGTAGCGAGGGGGAGCAAGAACGCGCTGTCTCGCTGTCTACGTTTAAGAATTCGGTCAAGTTTGGGGTAATTGACCGTGTTTGGAAAGAGCTTGCATTACTTTCGGTTGCTTTGAAAGAGAAGTAAGCGTTGTTTCTTTGTACTGAGAGCCGTCTCTCGTCTTGCTCACGTTGACGTTCTGTGCGAACGTCGTTTAAACTCATTGCAGTCGAGGTTGAGTTTGTTCGAATTTTAAGTGTTTTGTTTTATATTAATTAATTAATTAATTAATATACACATTAGCGATTTTCATCGCTGAAAGCTTCTTTTCTCGTTGTTTTGGTTTACGAAACCAGTCACTGTACTTTTTTGGATATTATTGAATACTTTTTTTTTCCCCGAAGAACAATAAAAATACACGTCTGCATACGGCGACGGTTCACAAAGCTGGCGCTTTATGAATTTCTAATAGCAAAATGAATATGTTAAAATTGTGTAAACAGTAACGGTATCTTATAGTCGCGGCACTGGACTATTGCGTTTCTTCTTGTATATTTTTATACCCGGTACACGTAGATTAAAAGGATATTCTAGATTCGCTGAAAAGTATGTAACAGGTAGAAGGATGCGTTTCCGACTCTATAAAGTATATATATAAGAGCAAAAAAGTTGAAATTCAGTATGTATAATTTTGCGGTGCCAGCGAATTTTATGGTGATACCATTGTCCGGCCACACAGACTCTTAAGCCCACCAAGCTCGAAAGACGGGTTTCGCAATTTGTAGAAAAGCTTATATCTCAGTAACTATAAGTGATAAAATGTTCGGCATAAGCACGTAGGTTTGTATGATGCCGCAAATGAGAATTGTTTTACTCCCATCAAGCCACGCTTAGACTAATGCCCACAAAACCCGGAAAGCCAAAATGCAAAATCAAAGATATGTAGGTTATAAGGCCTCACATAGACAGAGACGTCACTATCGGTTACTCAACCTGATTTCTCTGCCAAACGGTGGCGTTTAATGAATTTCTAATAGCAAAATTAATATTTTAAAATTGTGTAAACAGCAACCGGTATCTTATAGTCGCATCACTCGACTGTAGCGTTTCTTCTTGTATATTTTTGTACCCGTTACTCGTAGAGAAAAAGAGTATACTAGATTCGTTGAAAAGTATGTAACAGGTAGAAGGATGCGTTTCCGACTCTATAAAGGATATATATATGTAGGGTAGTACAAATTGATAATGTTTATTTCGGATATGTATATAAAAGTAAATTAAAGAAACAAAGGTTTTGGTATTAAACTTAAATTAGGAAGAGGGTGATGGGTATAGACATTCTTTGATGAAAAGAGACAGTTCTATATGGTGTTTTGGCTGATGGAAAAAAGCTACGAGGTTTTGGAATTCCGAACAGTGTGTCCCTATATGAAATGTAATAGGCTGCTTAATACCTTAATATTTCCATACCCCACAATCGGCTACCCTGAATCTTCATTCGCCCCTAAATGAACCCCATTTTTTCATGTATTCGGCTGCTGTCGTAGTAATGTTTGGTCCCTCCTGATTACCTTCTTTCTTTACTTCATAACGCTCCTGATTAAGTTTTTAGTAACTTTGTAAGGGCCGAAAAATTTTGGACGAAGTTTCATTCCAGTTCCATATTGTGTTCTTTTTATGGCAACTAATTCTCCTACGGCATATTCAGTTTCTAACTTCCTTTTTATAAACGGATTGCCCCCATTTTCATGTGACGTACGCTTATTAAAAGGTTTGTGGCCAAATGTGTTCTTCTGGAACTTTCCGGGGGCGTGGCTTTTTGCAGTGCGTATTTTAATTAATCTGTGCTTCAGCAGAGAGTTGGGCTCGATAAAAATAGGTACGCGGTTGACGATAGTTTCGTTGGCCAAGAATGATTTACAGAAGCCTTCATCGGTTGTTGGGTAAGTTCATTGGACTTTGAAAACGCCTTGAGCGAAACAGGTCGCACCGTAATAAAGCGAGAAAAGAGCTCGGAGCTGTGCAGTTTTAAGTCTTTGGGAATATCATCTACTGGCTTTAAACGTACAAATGCTCTGGGGATAAGGCGGTTAGCAGTTAAAGTTACATCCTCCACGGGAGCTACTTTCTCGATAAAGCTCTTGATATCCTCTTTGGTGACTTTTGGTCCAAACAGGGCAACCACAACTGTGCGATCATTTAAAGCTTCCTTGTCCTTCTCCTGAGATACGGTCAAAACATTTTCTCCAAGAGTCAGCGCCATATGCTTGGCTTGCAAAGCGGCTTCTGCTGCAGCCGGCGTATCAAAGGCCACAATGACTGAATTGGAACCCAACTTGTTAGTGATACGGTGCACTGCATAGATCGGTCCGAACTTGGCGAATAAGGTGACCACATCCTTGTGTTTGTATTCATTTTTTAAGTTCGCGGCATAGACGATCTGATTTTTTGGCGTTCCTATGGGAATCCTACCAACGGACACTTTAGGGATTCCGCTCTTTTTTTTAATCCTTCAAAGTTGGATTCCTCGGGTTTCTTACTTTCCTTGCCTTTCTTGGAAACAGGCTCCTCTACAGGGGATTCATCATCTTCGTCGGAGTCTTCTTCCTTCCCCGCGTCTGAGGTCTTTGAAAGCTCTCCTAGCTCCACCTTCTCGTCATCATCTTCCTCATCGTCATAATTCTCAGCTTCATCTTCCTCAGCCTCATCATCAATTAAATCAGCCACGTCTTCTGCCTCGAAGTCGCTATCGTCCTCAACCTGATCGTCGATCTGCTCCTCAGCGTCGGACTCTTCCTCGCTCGACGGTGTAACTTCCTTCACTGGTTGCTTCCTTTTGGACTGTGTAACTGCGATCTGTTTTTCCTCTTCCTGTAGCTTTAGTTTTTGATTGTCGGCCAGGTGAGATAAATTAATTTTATCTAGGACGGAACTTTTCTCGACTATCTCCGTGACACACATTCCATTAAATGTCGATGCAAAGTCTCTCTCTTTTGCCCTGAACTCGACGCCGTTGGAACTGAACATTACATCGACTGACTGTAGCACATCGTTTCCCACAACCGCAGAGTACTCGAGCTCGTTCTGTTTGGCGACATGGAAACCATCAGCTTCAAGATCGACGTCGAAACATCCTACGATCACAAGTTCACCCTTGCCGATACCTCTCAGGTGCTTAACTTCACGCCGTCAAAACTTCTGAAAATGTCCTCTCTCATCAAACACAAGTCACATCCCGAATAAATCATGGCTATGAATGTCACTCCTTCAGCTTTCATCTTTTTGTAAATGAGTCCCTTCGCGTCTTTTACTTCCAGTATGTTTGCAAACTCTTTCTTAACGGAAATAGTTTCTTTATTCTCATCGCAATTTTTAGAGATATGTCCTTTCTTGTTGCACTTTTAACATATTACTTCGCCATTGCAATCCCAAGCAATATGGCCTTCGCTGTTACACTTGAAGCATTTCCTTTAAAAATTGCTCTGAGTCGGTTTACCTAACGATTCCCTGTTCAAATTGTCTTTAGTATTTCCCTTTCCCTTCAACTTTTCGTAAATGCTTAATTCGGCTTTAAGTTCCCTAATGGAATTTGTTCGATACAACCCTACCTTGTTGACCTTGCTATCTGGGATGCCATCTATGAAGTACGATACTAGACTTTTCTCATCACGATTTATCGGTTTGCTGATCTCCATTAAACTATAGAGATACTCGAGGCATGTCTCTTTTGGTTGTTTTTGCCTTTTGCGCAAAATCTTGTGTATCTCTGCCGAAAATAGCTTTTTACCGAATTCTTCCTTCAACGCGTTTTTCAGCTCAATCCAACCACTAACTCCCCTTGTACTTTTTATGTAGAGCTTGGCTGCTTCAATCAGAAGTTGCTTAGCATAAATAAATTTCTGCACATTATCCCAAACCACGGTAACTGCAACGTCATCGAATTCAGACAGCCACGTCATTGACGTCTTCCTGTTCGGAGCATGAAAATGAAACACTGTCATGAATATCGCGTAGTGCAAATCTCGAGCTACTAGGTTGAACCGCCTCTTGGTAATTGGAAGCACTACTAATACTCGCAACTTTCCCATCAGTCTCGCCGTCCTCATCGTCAGCCACATCTAATGCATAACGATCGAACAACCGATCCTGCAAAGCTCCTTTTCTGCCAGTTGTACCCAAACCTAGTTCGGATAACTTTGCCCTTAGTAGAGGCACAGTCATAGCGAGGATCGTTCTAGCATCCATAGTAATGCGTTCAAGCCGTTTACAAACAGTGATACAATTCAATATTTAAATGTTTTGATTCAACAAAGTAAGAATTTAATTGACGTTAAACAATTCGTGTATTCAAAATAAATTCAAATCAGATTAAATATATGAAATCGCCTCAGTCGCTCACCACACCTAATTGGATTTTGCTGTCTTCTACGTCTGCTTGAATTTTGCCAATCCAGTCCACTCTGCTACTCCAGCTCGTACTCTTCTACGATGTCGTCACGCTGCACTGCTTGCTCGTCTCGTTGCCACTTCTTGCTCGTCTCTCGCAATTTTTTTGGCGGATTGCGTCGTTTGCAGATCTTGCAGCTCCTCTTTTCGCCACAGGGAATTTTTTGTGTTATTGTGACGAGGCCCAATAATTTGTTGGGTAAAACAAATTGATAATGTTTATTTCGGATATGTATGTGTGTCCCTGTATGAAATTAAATAGGCTGCTTAATACCTTAATATACCCTTATCCCACATATAAGAGCAAGAAAGTTGAAATTCAGTATGTATAATCTTGCGGTGCCAGCGCATTTTATGGTGATACCATTATCCGGCCACACCCACTCTTAAACCTACCAAGCTCGAAAGACGGTTTTCGCATTTTGTAGAAAAGCTTATATCCCAGTAACTATAAGTGATAGAATGTTCAGCATAAAATGTAGGTTTCTATGATGCCCCAAATGCGAATTGTTTTTCTCTCATCAAGCCACGCCTAGATTAACGCTCACAAAACTCAACATGCTTTCTCCAACAATAGGTTGCGCTTTGAATTTCTAATAGCAAAATTAATATTTTAAAATTGTGTAAAACAGTAACGGGTATCTTATAGTCTCGTCACTCGACTGAAGCGTTTCTTCTTGTATATTTTTATACCCGTTAATCGTAGAGAAAAAGAGTATACTAGATTCGTTAAAAAGTATATAACAGTTAGAAGGATGCGTTTTCGACTTTATAAAGCATATATATAAGGGCAAGAAAGTTGAAATTCAGTACGTATAATCTTGCGGTGCCAGCGCATTTTATGGTGATACCATTACCATTTTATGGTTATCACCATTATATTACATTATTCTACTTTGTGTATACATTATACTTTTCAACGAAACTAGTATATCTTTTTTACCTTTCGACTACCTTTTTTTCACTTTTTACGGGTATTAAAATATACAAGAAGAAACGCTATAGTCCAGTGCCGCGACTATATGAATCCCGTTTCTGTGTTATACAAGAAGAAACGTATAGTCGAGTGCCGGGACTATAAGATACACCGTTACTGTTTTACGCAATCATAAATATTAATTTTGCTATTTTGTGGAATTTCATTTCTTAATTTTGGGACTAACAATAAGTTGACAATCTTATTCATTAAAATTTAACTAAGACTACAAGACTATAAGATACCCGTTACTGTTTTACGCAATTTTTTAAATATAAATTTTGCTATTGGAATTTCATTTCTTAATTTTGGGACTAACAATAAGTTGACGAATCTTATCATTAAAATTTAACTAACAGTATACTAAGACTGCATTCTTTTTGCATCCCTCAGGTCGGTCGCTGGGTGGGTAGGTTATTGCGACGAAGGCGTGATTGGTTGCTCAACCTTGTTAGAATTATCGCCAGATGGTTAGGGTGCACCAATAGCTTGGTGAAGTACTTTACCTTCTGTTCTGCAATAACTTCTTTGACTGGTAGAATGTTTAAGTCCCGGTGTATGTTTTCGTTGCAGGAACGTACCACGGTGCCCCGGTGATTGTTCTCAAGATCTTCGACTGAACTCTCTGAACAATGTCAATGTTGCTA